CCATTGAAAAAATGAGTACAAGTGGGAGGGATGGAGAGTAGGGGCACATATGTAGAGCAAATGTCCTGAAATGGCTGTGACAAAATGGGCCACATCCTCAGATTTCTGTTGGCAGAAATGTGCTTACCCCCTTTACAGGCAGTAGGGAGCTCCTTCCTGGCTATCTTGGCATTGCTCATTCTTGCCAAGAATCTGCAGACAGGAAGCAGCTTGAATCTCATCCTTGAGTGTGCTGGATCCCTCTGACATGTGCTAACAATGCCTGTTCTCAGGCACAGGGATTTACATGTTTCTAGTCACTCCCTCAATGCTGGCCTTCCTCTTCAGATTGTAAACTCCATCCTTCATATACCCTTCCTCAGGCTGGATGTGCAGCCTGGCACCTGTGAGTGCTCCATTGACATGCATGTCCCAGTGAATGGATGGATGAAGACTGGAACCAGCAAAGGTACACAGATGGATGAACTTCCTCCATGACACTTCCTTTCTGCATCTGGTTCTACTTTTTAGGGCATTGAAGGACGTGACTTCCTCCAAACTAAGAATTTTAGTCCATACTTATGTCCAACTCTGTTGATATTTCCTATTGTACTTTCTTGAGATCTGGTATTTACATCTCACCTTCAGAAATATGGTGCCCTCTGATGGTCCATTTTCTCAGATTTTGCTGGGCTGTTTCTAGGGCCAGTGTCTTGGGGGTTGGGAGAAATGTAGCCCTGTGGAGTGGGCACCTGCTGGTTTGGGTTGGCCAGTCACAATCTCCTTCAATTTTGCCACCAGCACTATAGGGGTGTCTTCTTGCCTCCATCTTTAATCCATGGGGTTTGGCTGGGTGAGAGTTCAGGGACAGCCTTTATCTCAGGTCCCATCAGTTAGCAAATTCCTGCCCTCTGTTCACAATGGCTGAGTTAGGGAGATAAGCATGGGCCCACAATGAACCTGTGGGGTCAAGCCCAGGATTTTGTCTGGGGCCACTGAGAATAAGAAGCTCTCTTTCTGCAAGAGTGGCTAAGGTATTAGTAATCCCAAACCTGAGGGTGGTGTAGAGAGAGCCTGCTGAGAAGGGAGCAAACATGGAGGACAAGAAAGCCAAGAGATACCCAAGAACAGCATATGAGAACCTGGATCCAGTTGTACCTGAAGTAAAATATACCTAAAATAGTTTCTTAATGGATATATGATTGGTATTTTGGGCATGAAATTCTACACATTGTAAGATGTTCACCATACCCAGTTCCCACCAGCAAAATGAAGGAAGTTTCCCTAGTCATTAAAACAACCAGAACAACCCCCATTACTTTCATTTATCCCAGATGGCTGCCCTTGGCTTTTCAGTTACTTGAGTCAAGAATTTCCCCCTTTTTATTTATTCCAGTGGGTTTTCTGACATTTTCAAATAATGACTGACAGTCTGTCAACATTTTTGGGTGTCAGGGATTTAATCCTCAGCATACCAGTTGATCTTGATGTAGCCTGTCAGAGCACAGGACTAGTTCTGAGGAACCAATGGCTAGCACAGGCAACCAGCAACATGGACAAATGAAAAATTGCCCAATTCTGGTTCTGGAAAATGGCACTGAGGGATAGACCACAGCATATCAGGGCCAGCCTTGGATGTTGGGGCAACATCTTGACCTGAATCAGGACACCTCTAGCTCACAAGCCCAAGAGGCACTCCCTTGTAGGCAGCCAAACATGGCCTCCTTTGGGAGATTAAGATAACCACTTAGAAGGGCAATATCAAGTGAAAATGAGAACTCCCAACATGTTCAAATCAATAAGGATCATTACAAGATCCATAAAGATGGTGACAGGGTCTGTGAGGCCAAGCCAGTGGTGGAAGCTGGCCTGAAGGAGAAGGGATTCAGGCCTTAGCATTTTTCTGAGCACCACAAGCTTTATGAGGGGTTGCTGTGTCCTGCCTCTGCATGTTGGGTCTAAGCAAGAGAGAGGCACTTATCTCAGCATTAGAAGGGACCTCGAGATGCTCTAGTCCTTCCTTGTCTCTAGTATGGGCCTAGGGTGTGTTTTCTTAGGCACAGTTTAGAGTAACCAATAACCATCAATGGCTCCCACACCTATAGGACAGAGCACAGACTTCTCCCAGCATTCAAGCTAGTGTCAACCATGGCTCCCCCATGTCCTAGTGTGTGGTCTCACAGCAGGCATCAGGCCTTGTGTTGCCTCTGATTCTCCATCTATAAATAGTACAATAGCAGCACTCACTTGATAGCAGAGTAAGTGTTGGCTGCTACAACCATCATTTTTAGAATTTCTGCTGCATTCAAGAAAGAGAGTATTGGATGTCAGAAGTCCTGGCTCTGCCACTCATTTAACTCAGAGCTAATAATATAATTTCTTAGAGTCTTGATTTTTTCATCTATGAAATGGGAATAAGGATCATACCTCAATGAGATGTTGTAAATAAAAGATTTTGAGTAGTATGTCAGTCCTTCCGTTTGGAAGGGCCCCAGGCCCTGGCCTCCCCTACCCTCTAAAAAGCACAGTTTAGGGAGAGATTCACAGAGAGGTCTCCAAGGGGCTTGGCTTCCTCTCCCATGAATCTTCACACAACTCTGGGCACCTCTACCAGATTAGCCCATCTTGTTACTGGCCAGTTGTGTGTTGTCCTAGCAGCTCTGCTGAGGGCTGGCTGCTCAGTCCCTATCGCTTGCTCTGCAGCAGCCAGTATGTCTCTTCATGCAGACATTTATTTTTTATTTTTTTATATGAAATTTATTGTCAAATTGGTTTCTATACAACACCCAGTGCTCATCCCAACAGGTGCCCTCCTCAGTGCCCATCACCCACTTCCCCTCCTTCCCACCCCCCATCAACGCTCAGTTTATTCTCAGTCTTTAAGAGTCTCTTATGATTTGCCTCCCTCCCTCTTTAACTTTTTCCCCCCCTCCCCTCCCCCATGGTATTCTGTCAAGTTTCTCAGGATCCACATATGAGTGAAAACATATGGTATCTGTCTTTCTCTGTATGACTTATTTCACTTTGCATAACACTTTCCAGTTCCATCCATGTTGCTACAAAAGGCCATATTTCATTCTTTCTCATTGCTGAGTAGTATTCCATTGTATATATAAGATATACAATATATCTTTATTATATACATATATATAATATGTATGGTGGGCATATTATATATGCCATATATATATAGTGTGTGTGTATATATATATATATATATATATACACACTATATATATATAATCACAACTTCTTTATCCATTCATCAGTTGATGGATATTTAGGCTCTTTCCATAATTTGGCTATTGTTGAAAGTGTTGCTATAAACATTGGGGTACACGTGCCCCTAGGCATCAGCACTCCTGTGTCCCTTGGGTAAATTCCTAGCAATGCTATTGCTGGGTCATAGGGTAGATCTATTTTTAATTTTTTTGAGGAAGCTCCACACTGTTTTCTAGAGTGGCTGTGCCAGTTCATGCAGACATTTAAATGAATGCTGGCCTATGGAGCTTCTCCCCGGGAAAGAAGACCCAGTGCTCCCCCAGTGTAGATATGCCACCTTGTAAGTTAGAGGCAGAGATGTGACTCCTCATAAAATCCACAGGGACTGAGGCCCCAGCCAGAGGTTCAGCTCATTGGTGGATGGTGATGAATGTCCACTATGCAGGATGAAGGTTGAGCTTTCTTGATTAGAACACTATTCTCCCTGTGGGTATTAAACCAGCAAAGGGAAGTTAGTCCTATTTGCTCAGTGAGCATGGATTCAGAGCATGGAAAGAGGTTTCATGATTTGAAAGTGAAATGGCACCAGGCTCTGTGAGGTTGCCATATCCACCTCTATAGTCAGGGCATCCCTGCCCCAAAGACTTGCACATTTTGCTTCCAGGCACCTTTTCCTGTCAAATTGTGGTGGGCACTGCCTACATGTCCTATGGCCCCTTCTTCTCATGCTCTCATGCTTGACATTTTATTTGTATAGAGGGTTTAGGGTCCAGCTTCTGGAGTTGGAGTAGTCTTGAGTCTGGGTCATAGTGTTTCATAAGCTCTCTGACCTGAAGCAATTTACTTCACCTCTTCTAATCTTGACTGCTCATCTAGAAAATGAGGATAAAAGTATCTTTCACTGAAAGTGAAAGGGTTGGGAGGGTTAAGTGAGTGTGTAGTATATACTTCCTTATTAGAGTGCTGGGCTCTCACTGTATACCCCACTCATAACCTGTGCTTATAGACATTCATTTAATTTTTATAGAAGAGTAAAATGGCTCCTTGCTAAGCTTTCTTCCAGCTCAGGTATATATGTGATAGTCAAAGAATATGGGTGGGTGTCTTGCCTAAGAAGTCAGTGAAAGCCTATTTCAGGAAGTGCCCTGTCATGTTTTAGGCTGGTGGGGCACCCTTCTACCAGGCATTGGTCCGTCTGGCTGATTTAGGACAGGCCCACTTTTCTAGAGGTCAGTGGTCTCCTGAAGCCACTCCTGCTGGTGGATTCCAGGCACTTTTCTCCTTGTGCTTCAGAGAACAGCTCCCCACAGCCTGGGTACTCTGAGGGCCAGACAGACAAGGGCAGGGCCATGAATATGCTGGTCTTGGAGGCCAATTCTAGGCACTTCTGGAATTGATGGACTTGAATAACCACCAACACAAAATGCTTTCCTACAAGATAGGAAGTTGAGTCATCTGCAGAAAGTCACTCTACCTTCCAGGCAAATGAGCCACTGGAGGGGAGCTAGAGGTCCTGCACACCCACCAGCCTGTGGCTCAATACTTACTGTCTAGCCAGTGGATCTCTGGCATGTGTTGCAGATAGCTGTCTGGACAACCCTGGTCTCCTTAATGGCCCACCGTCCTGCATTCTGCACATGGAAGCTCTCTGAGGTGGTGGAGGTGTAAGCCAATGGAATGGCCAGCAGAGGGATGCAGGGTGACACCTTCCCTGTTATGCTTCTATCCACTTGGGCATTTCTGCTCAGACCCTCTCAGCTTCTGCCCCAACCTCACTGCTCCCATCATCCAGACAAAAGACCTCTCCATGTTCATTTTTATTTAAAGACTCAGAAACACAGGCATCATAGTTTGTCATCACTGTCAAATTCATCCAAAATCACACGCTGACATTTGTGTGTAACAAAAACATTGGTGTGTGTGTGTGTGTGTGTGTGTGTGAACTGTGCAAAGTACAAAGAACTTCTCAGCCAGGCAGCTGAGCTTGTTTGGGGTGCCAGAGTCTGGAATTCATAATATGAGGCTGCCAGGGAAGTGCCTGCCCACTGTCTCCCCACTCTGCTTCTGTGGCCCTTTGGTGGACCAGTTGTCCTCATCCACTGACCTTGCTCAATGGTGTCTATGAACTCTACTGCATTCCTCAAAGCAAGTCACCTTGGCTGCCAAATGCCACTGATAACCAAGATGTGTAAGTTGCTGGGCCAGGGTAGACAGTGAGGGTTCAGGTAAGGTGTTGGTTTCATCTTAGTAGCCAAAATGAGTTTGTCCATTAGGGCAAGATATCCCAAAGGGTCTAATTCTGCTCTTGCCCTTGTCTGTGGGCCAAATGGTCATAAAGGCTGATGGATTTGGCTGAATATGTTTGAAAACAGCCCAAAGCACCAGGGCTGGTTGTGTACTTCCCTGCTCTCTGGGAGCCCCACCTGAAAGGATGTCCTGGTGATGGCTGGCCTATGGCATCCCTTCCTTCCCAAAGTCATACCAATACCTGACCCAACTCTGCCACAAGAAGGTCCAGTTGATGCCTTGCAAAGGCACTGGATACTCGCCCAGCTCTCTGCTGTGAGGGGTGCTGGGCCCTGGTGGGGGGCTGCCTCACCCACAGTCACTAGGCTGTTTATCAATTCCTACCTACCACGAGCATTGTGTGGGTGGTGGCTGAGAGAGGAAAGAAGGTCCAAGTTAGTCTATTCTGTTGCTTGGTAACTGCCTTCATTAAAAAAAAAAAATAAAAAGGCTTTCCTTATTATCTGGGGATGTGAGTTAGTTCTGGTCTCACTGAGGAACATGTGTCTCCGTCAGTGTGTTAATCCATGCACATTTTTGGTGATGGCATGATTTTAAACAAGCACATGATTTTTGTGCATGGCAGACAACTAATTTGGCACCAATGGCAAATGGATACCTTCTGGTTGTCATTAACTCACGTAGGGCTCCCTGGGTTTAAGTTGGATTTCATCTTTCTTTGATTCAGAACAAATTTCTCAAGTCTATTAAATCTATGATTATCTGGAGAGAGGAGAAGAGCCTTTGTCTAGGTGTGATCCCACTGTCATGGTAGCCACCTGGCAGTAACAAATAGCCAAGTCACATCCCCAAATAGGAGCTCTGAAAATAAGTGTTTTGTATTTCAAAGGCATTCCACCAGGCAAGGGAATGTGTTTCTGGATTTTGTTGCATCCTTGAAAACCAGGGAGATCCTATGTTACCAAAGGCTAATTTAGTCAGCCTAATTTAAACTTGAGTCACTTTATAAAAATAAAGAGAGAGGGAGTTTATGAATTGTGACTCTGAACTGACAAGAATGTATTCTTAAGGTGTGAATCTCTTGAGAACAAGACTGCCTGCATGACAGGGCTTCTCCAGTCTGTTTCTATGGCAGGTCAGGGCTGCTGGGCTCATGAAGAGGCCTCAATGGACTCCACCCAGGGCAAGGTCCCAGGATCAAAGGTATTCTTCATCCTGTCTCTTCTCCCAGCTCCCTTGAATTCTTCAAATCTGCAGCAATACCTCAAATCCCTTGTTCTCCTCATTGTACTTCCAGTCTCTAGACCAATATTTGTACTGCCTGATAGGGACACATTTATTAAAAAAAAAAAAAAAAAAAAGACAAACCCATCATAGGGTGGGAAACCTGAATTGTGGTTAAAAACTACACATTTCAGTAGTGAGAAATCATACTTTGATAATGCTAATTGTAGTCATTTTCTCTAAAGCAATAAAAGGAAAATTCTGCCTTCCTAGGCTGGGGTTGACCTTCATGTTCTTTTTACTGCCACACAAAAGGCAATTATAGTGACCCTTACTTGAAATGCTTCCAGTTCTTGAATAATAATTACCACTGTCTAGACATAGCATGGGGCTTTGGTAAAGGTTTAAAGAAATTGGCTTTTTCTAAACTCCCTCCAACCACTTAAATGGATTCCCTCTTATCCACAGAATAGTAGCCAACACTGATATTGAGTGCGTGGACTTTTCAGTTTTCCAAAATTCACATGGTACATATAAAAATTCTGCCCACTTGATTATCATCTCAGACATTTTTTCTTTCAAGCTCAACCAAGTCATTATTGGTTTTACAAAAAGGCAGCACCAGATGTATGAAAAATAGGCAATGTATGACCTATTAGAAATATAGAAAGTCTAACAGCTTTACTTTAAAAAGATGTTGTAAGAAAGAAGCAATGCAAAGGGACAGTGGCGGCAAAACGAAACATGTGGCTTATAATACGATGGGCAGGAAACAAAGCCAAGTGCGATCTTGCGCCTCCAACAGGAGCTGCATGCTGGGCTTCCCCAGGGACTCTGGGGACCCAGCAAAGGCCCTGGGCCAGGAACACCCTTGCTGAGTGGCCAGGTGGCAGGTGACTGAGGTATATAGAGAGGTGATGGAGCAATCTGGACCCCCCCCCCCCAAGAAGCCCAGGGCAACCCATAAAGACAATCTTCAAACGCCCTGGGCGCCATGCCCACCGCCCAACCCCCACAGCCCTTCTGCAGCTTTCGGCCTTGCATAGGCAGCAAACAAGAATGCTGCAGCTTAGCAGTAAGTCACAGAGCAAATCAACCCGCATCAGCAGCTTCTCTTTTCAAAGATATTTCTTTACAGTTTACGCAGAGGGAAGCATTTTGTCAGAGAACAACCCCAGGGTGTGCTCTTGGTTGGGGGTTATGGGCTCCCACCCCCATCCAGGGTGGCCATGTCAGGAGCCTTGAAAGGGACCTGGGACCCTCAGGACAGCCTTGACTTCCCTTGTTGTGCCCTGGGGATCCCAGGGAGCCTTCATGCCTGGGGAGTGGGGTGTGGAGAGTGTGTCCTCAGAAGCTCTCTACGAAGCTTCCCGGGAAGAGACCGGTGCGGCCATTCCTCTGCAGGGTCCCCTTGTACCAGCCGTCCTCACGCTTCTTGTGCACAAAGACAATGTCACCTTCCTTCAGCTCGATCTCTGCCTCGCTCTGGGGAGGGTAAGAGACCACCACGCGGTACCTGGTTGGGGGGGAAACAGATACCACATTGGGTGAGTCTGACCCTAGGCTGGAGGATGACACCCCAGGGCCTGCTTGCAAGGTCTCTCTCTTTGTTCTTCCTTTCCTTTTCCCCATCTGGTGTAATTATTATAATTTGGGGTTACTTCCCCCACTTTTAAAAATTTCTACTTTGATTTTAATTTTTACACCACCTTTTCATTTTTTAATTAAAATTAAAAAATAATTTCCCCTCCGTGTCCTTTTGGAGCCCGATCTATGCAGCTGGAACATTTTTGCCTGAGAGACAGTCTCTCCCTCCAGCCCATTTTGGACAGTGGCCTCCTCTGAGGTGGGGCCTGGGACAGCCACTTCAGTCCTGGGGCAGGCACTGGGGTATGGGCGGGACACTTAGTTGTGTCCTCAGTTCTGTCCTGTCCTGGCTGCATGATGCCAGGCTAGTTGTCCTGACCTCCGGAGTGTCAGCTTCTTTGTCTGAGGAACAGGGAGGGTGGGGGACGCCTCTTAAATGGATGTCCCACACGATGTGTGAAAGTGTTCTGGACCTTGTATGGTAAAATGGTCACTCTTTTTAAATGTGCTCCAAAAATCTTACCTTAGCACCTGAACTGGATGAAATCACATCATAAATGAAGCCCAATTTTTTACACATCTCATTTCCGAAAAACCTGGGTGCTTCCCTGCAGCCTCTGAGGCCTCTGTGGAACCTCATTTCAGACCAACATGACATAAAATCCAACTGGAGACATAATTGTTCCCATAGGGGACTCAAAGTGGAGCTGTGAGCCTGAGCTCTAACTTAGCAGAGACCCCTGAGGACCCCTCATGGCTACGGCAGGTCCAGGGCATGGGTGGGGGCGCTGGGTGCTGCCACGCACAGCTCCCTGAATCTGAGACAAATCTGACCCTCTGGCTGGCAGCTGGCTGGGGATCCAGAGCCCCAGGATCAAGCACACATCCCACACCACACACCTGTCCACCGGGCCTCAGAGGAAGGTTAAAAAGAAGTTGTGCTCACTCTGAGGGTCAATGTTCTAAAACACCACCAAAGGCAAACCAGCATGTGCCCTGGTGCCCATGTTCCTCGCTCTGCTCAGCCTGTCTGGAATCTTCTGTCCCCACCCTCCAGCCAGCTGTGCCTCCCTGCCCCCTCAGGGAACTCCTCAGGGGCAGGTGTGCTCAACACTAGACTGGGCCTGCACCTCAATGCTGAGGGGGAGGAGGGAGGAGCTGAGAGGGACCTGCCCACCCCACTGGGCACGTGAAGTTAAGCTTCTCTGAAATGTCCAAGTCCTAACTGTGGGTGGGTTTTATAGCCGGGAGGATGCAACCACTCTCAATCCCTGAAAACCCCTAGCTGGAAGTCGCTCCAGAGCCTACATTTGGAGAGTTACACCCACATCTGGAGGGTTCCTCTCTGGTCATGGAGGCTGCCCCACTTGGGACCCCTGCTGGACCCTCGCTCCACTCCAGGTTCTCTGCAGTCGGCAACCACACAGTGAAAACATAGGCAGACCACAGCCTTCCTCTGCTCAGAACAGAAGCCAAAGTTGGGGAAAGGCTTCTGTGTTCTCTTTGCTCTCTGAGCACATGTGCACTCCTCAATCTCCCCCAGCTCAGGACTCCCTTGCCCGGGCTGCTCTTGCCTGCCACTTCCCTGATGCTCTCTCTGGAGCAATCTCTCCTTCCACAAGCCAGCTGGGCCCTATTCACCATGCTTAGTGCTTAGCACAGGTCTCCCACACTAGCATGCAAGCCCCCAGAGCAGCAACTGTTACCCTGTGCTCCCTGCGGTGTGCCCAGTGCCTAGGACAAGACTTGCACACAGGAGCACTATTCATACATGCAGGAGGGCACCTGGAGGCCGGGGGGTGGTGCTGTCAGTCAGGTGGAGCTGCTGGGGAGCCAGAGTAACCGGGCAGGCGGAGGCGCAAAGGTGTCAGTGGCTGGTGGCAGCTGGCGCGGAGAGGTCCAGTGGTGCCTGTATCTGGGCCTGCAGCTCCATAGCAACCACCCAGCAAACAATGCCTCCCCCCAGCCCACAGTGTACACTTCAGCTCCTGCTGTCAGCCCCTGGCCATAGGAGGGGAACGTTGGCCAGACTAATGGCCCAGGAGCAGGATGACCAGCAGGCCTTAAGGGACTGGGCCATCCATCCATGCATAGGAGATGAACTGGGAGGAACCACATACTGGGTGGTTGGCAATGCTGGGACTCAGAGGCCCAGGGCCTGACCTGGACTAGAAAGGCCACCCCCAGGAGGCACTGTCCTGCTGCTCCCCTCTTCCCTGGCAGTGCCTGGCTGTGGTCCTGGCCCACTGGCTGGGGCAAGAAGGTGGGATATTCCTTTTCCCTCAGTCTTCCTTGGGCTGTCGGCTGTGAAGGCCTGTCCCCTGGGTCCTGCCTCCCCCATAAGCCACAGCCATACACATGGCCTCTGAAGGAGATCATCCAGGTGTCCCAAGCAGCTGGCTGTGCTGAGGATCCTCAAGGGGCTCTAAATGTGAAGCCTCTGACCTGTATATTCTGCTTTTGGAAAACCAGGACATTATAACCAAAAGAGTTCCTATGTCAGCATTTCTTCAAATGTGGCCGTAGACTTCAGGGCCTCTAGGTCAGAATCCTGGCTCTGTGCCAGACCTACTTGATGAAACTATGGGAATGGGGCCAGGAGTGTGGATTTTCAGCAAGTTTGTGGGTGAATGTTTAACTTGCTATTGTTTGAGAATTAAGGTGAAAGCTCTAGGCAAGTCTTCGTTCTTCAACCACCTGCTCAGAGGGGTTGGGGTGCTGGCCCATTGGGGTTAGGACAGGGAAGCCATGGTTTGGGGCATCTGGGATTGGTGCTGTGAAGGCTGAGGAGACAATGCACAGGAAGAGAAGACCCAGGCTCCACTCTGGGGAGCTCACGGTCCCAGTTTATTCCAGGCTGTTGAGACCAGGGGGGAGAGAGAAAGGTGACTCCTGAGTCTGACTTGGCAAGCAGGGTTCCTACTGCTTAGGGACCAGGGCTGGCCAGGCATGCTGAGTGCTTTGGAAGGGCTGCAGGTTTAGGAGGGTTGGGCCAGTTCTCATAACTCTCTGGGCTCTAGATGCTGGCTTTGGGGGTATAAAGGAGAGAGAAAATACAGTATGCCTCTCGCTTTCCTCTCAGCCCAGAATCTCTGCAAACGGCTGCCTGCTGGCCACTCCCCGATGACAGATGGCCTTGAGGAGGTAGGAATAGTCTGTAAAATCAGTTCCCATATGTCTGGCACTCAGGCCATGTGTGCAGCTACAGAGACCAGCACCAGCCCTATCTGTGGCTCTCTGCCACCCTCCACCTTTTCTCCAAACACCTGCCTCCTTCTCTTCCCCAAGGATGAGAAGGCAAAGAGTGAGATGATTTCTCAGACTTCAAACACAAGTTTTGGCTTTTGCCTCAACTGCCAGATGTGAAGCAAACAAGCAACTCTGAAAATGTAATTTGCTAGAAAAAAAAAAAGTAATTTGGTGCTTCTGAGTAATTCAATGATTTAATGAGCCCAGATGGATGATGTGGGCCTAATGTATAAGAGTCGAGCATTTAACGTTCTTGTCCAGATCATTCCAAGACTCTGAGCTATTTTTCCTGCTGCATGAAAGTAATTGATACTCCCTGTTATAGACACAAAGGGCCAAATGAACAGTTAAGGACAGCAGCTACTCCTGTGTTATGACTGTGGCGTCATAAATTATAAGAGACTGCCTTGTGCTGAGTTAAGGTTAGGTCAACCACAACTAATTTTCAGATATAAGATTCAGGAAATCAAAAGGCTCAAAATCAGAATGAATTCTTACCACTGCATATTGCAATTAGCTTTATGTGTGAGGTTTGGCATGTCCTCCTCCTGTGTCATCTGCTCTCCTCCTGACAACAGGGGTCACCGGGAGGCCCTCTGAGTGGCAGGCTTTTCAGAGCATTTGCTTCAGTGCCTACTGAGGGCGAGTGACCCCCGAGATGGTGGATGTGATCATCACAGAGCAGTTTCCCTCTAGGAACTTGGAAATAAGAGTATGCCTAAACCCCAAACACTAAGCTACAATATCAGCACATGTATTAGGTGCTTGTTGCTGTTATAACAAATTTCCACAAACTTAGTGGCATAATTTCTTATCTTACAGTTAAGTCAGACATCCAATGTAGTCACCCAGAGTGCATTCCTTTTGAAGGCTCTGGGAGTAATGCACTCCCCTGCTTTTTGCAGCTCTTAGAAGCTGTCTACATTCCTGGCCAAAGGCCCCTTCCTCCATCTTCAGAGCCAGCAATGGCCAGTTGAGTCCTCACACTGCATCACTTTGTCCCTCTCTGCTGCCTTCCTCTTCTCCTTAGAGGGACTCTGTGATCACACTGGGCCCGCCTGGATAATCCAGGATAATCTCTCCATTTTAGAGTCAGCTGGTTAGCAACTTCTATCATGCCTGCAGCCTTCATTCCTCTAGGCCACGTAAGTCCCCCATGTAAGTCACAGTTTGGGGGATCAGGGCACAGACATCTTTGGGAAGCCACTGTTCTGCCTACCATGACACATAATAGATCAAAAAAACTTAAATCCTAACAAAGCCAAACAACTCACAGGCCAGTAAGAGGTGAGGATAAATAGACTGAGTGTGTGAACATATGGGAGAAAAGATTGTGCCAATAAAAAGTAGAGGAAGGGGTGCAAGGCAACATTGGGGGCACCACCATCTTATTATTGTATATGTCATACCATTTCATATAATCATATACGTCATTTAATATGTTATTATTGCTCTTTTTATGAATTCATAATTTCCCAGGTATTGATCTATGCATTTTACAAATATTATAACTATCAGATAGGTATTAATATCCCCACTTTGTATATGGGGGAACTGGGACTCGAAGAAATGAAGATGCCTATTTGGGTGAAATGGATGATAAGAGGTAAGTGTGCCAATATTTCAGAGCCACTCTGCAACTTCTCCGAGGTTCAAGAGAGCCAGGAGGCAGGCATCCAGAGGATGGGTGCAGGGTGGCTGGCCCAAGAACTCAGCCAGACCTGCCCAGGGTCAGCATATCCCTGCTGGGGAAATGGGACGTTAGACAGTACTACTGGATACCATAACTATACTGCTGTTATGAGTTCCCCAAGTAACCTCCAGAAATGTGGCTCCCTGCACATTGTCCATAGGGCATAACATGTCCAGATGGTCCAAGGATTAGGTTCCCGAGGAAGGGTTAGTAATCGGCACTCTGGTTTACACATCAGGCCTGTGAGTTTGGCTCTTATAGATCTCCTGAGAGCTGAACCTGCCTCTAGTGAGCTGACGTGCAGGCCTGGCCAACCAGACCTGGGGGAGTTCTCCATGGTTCACTCCTCTGGGCGGCCCAAACTTCCTTCCTCTGGGAACAGTTAGGAGAGATGCTCCCAGTGTCTTCCTGAATCCTCAGGAGGGAAATTGTTACATCCCAGGGAGTTTCTACATAGGAGACACTCAGAACATGCAAGAGGCAGCCTTGTAGCACCCAGAGCCTAGCCACTCCAGGTGAGAGATGCCCCTTCCTCAGTGAGCTAGTGGTGGAAGCCTCGAATCTGAGCCCCACCTGCCCTTTGCTGCTCTCCCCCCTTCAAACCTTAAAGTGGCCTTGCACACGGCAGGCACTCTGCAGATACATGGCTTGCAAGTGAGTGCCCAGGGCCTCCATAGCAGGGATTCCTGTTACAGCTGCTCCCCTCCAGCTGTGAGCTAAGTTTTATTCACAAGCCTGCAGGGCCCAAGGCCAAGCACTTTCTGGAGCTGTAGAAAGCACAGCCTGAAGACTAAGCCTTTCCATTGTTACACCCTTGCTCCAACATGCTGGGGCTTCCTAGGACACAAGGCAGCCTAGGGGCTGCACAGGGCGAGAGAAGGGGGCATTTGGGGGCTCATTAGGCAGCAGTTTCATTTCAGGCTGTATTTTGAAAACTCTCATCACTAATGAGCTTCACAGAGTGCTGGGGACAAGCAGGGTGCCAAAAGTCTCTGGGTACAATAAGCCCTGATTAGATGGAATATTCACAGAATGAGAGTAATTCTCTGATCTTTCTAGTTAATCATGACTTCCATGGTTTAGTAGAACAGGGTATTTTAAGACCTTTTATTAAGGAGTCTGGAAGTTGAGGGATCTAGGGAGAACAGAAACTTAGGGGAGACATGAGAACAGCTTTGAAATATCTCGGCCTATCTTTCTCAGGAGCCACCAACTTTGTTACCTGGGGCAGAGGGACTGGGAACCACATTAAGAAATCATAGGCATCTGGGGGTTGGTCTTATGGAAGGATGAAGGTTCTGACATGAAAGAGCTGCCCAAAGTTGGAGGAGGCTCCTTGGAGGGAAATGGAGAAAGAAAGAGAATATGTGTGCCTGTGTGTGTGCCTGTGTGTGTGTGTGTGTGTGTGTGTGTGTGGTGTTTGTGTGAGATGTGAGGTGTCTGTGGTATATGGTGTGTGTGAAGTGCGTGTGTGGTGTGTATGTGTGTGTATGGTATATGGTGTGTGTGCATGTGTGGTGTGGTATGTGTTTGGTGTGTGAGTATGGTATTTGTGTGAGATGTATGTTAAGTGTGTATGTGGTATGTGTGTGTGTGTGGTGTGTATATGTGTGTGGTGTGGTATGAGGTGTGTGGTGAATGTGTGATATGTGGTATGCGTGGTGTCTGTGTGGTATTTCTGTGAGATGTGTGGTATATGTTGTGCATGTGTGAATGTCTGAGGATGTGCGTGTGTGTGGTATGTGCTATATGTGCACATGTGGTGTGGTGTCGTGTTTGGTGTGTGTGGGGTGTGGTATGGGTGTGGTGGTGGGGGTGTGTGTATGTGTGTGTGTGTGATGTGAGGTAAGGTGTGAATCCAGTCTCCTCAGGGCCTGGGGGTTTGCTGTGGGGAACGCACCTCACAGTAATGGATCCTGCTGTGACGGAGTTTGGACAGCAAGTATATCTTGAACCAACAAGGGGGTGGTGATCAATTGCTGAGGATCCAGAGGCAGATGCTGATATCCTGGCAAGGCTGTGATACGGTCCATACTGTTTTAAAGCCAGAGACACCCAGATCCCTTTGTGGGCAAGTTGCACCTTGGGCAGCTGCTGACCATGCCCCTCAAAGTGGTTCAGAGACCAGGCTCTGTGGCTGGAAAGCCTTGAATTCAATCTCTGGTTTGGCTAGTTACTTTTAGCTGTGTGATCTCGAGCAAGTTACTTAGCCTTTCAAGAAGATGGGGATACTAAATTCGTAGGGTTGTTACAAGAATCACCTGAGGTAACACACACAAGGCACCTAGAACAATGCCAGCAGATGCTAAGCTGCATACACAGCATGGCCATTCTGGGTGTTTATGGCCCAAGTCCATACTGATTGTTGAGTGTCTGAATCTCCCCCTGCACAGAGCACAGAGCTTTCATTCTAAAAACAGGTGTAAATATGGACTGACATGACAACTGCTTATCGGAAATCCGTAACCAGCTCATGTTGTCCCTCCGCTGCCCATGGAGACTGTTCTCTCAGTGGCGCTGGATCTCAACACCACAGCATCAACCCAGCCCTGAAGCCCATCATCTGGGTATGCCTTGGCAAAGTGGACTGCAGCTTATTTGTGTGGTCTGAGAACTAAGAATGCTGTTACAATTTTAAATGGTTGAAAAAGAAATCAAAATAAGAAAAATATTTCATGACACAAGAAAATTAAATGAAATTAAAATTTTGGTGTCCATAAGTAGAGTTTTACTGGAGTGCCCACGCCCTTTGCTTCCATATTGTCTATGGCTGCCTTCATGCCGGCACAGCAGAGGTGAGAGTTGTGACAGAGACCTGCAGTGTCTGCAGAATTTACTATCTAGGCCTTGACAGAAAAGGCGTGTCACCCCCCATTTAGACAGAACTTAACTAGCCCTGCATTGGCACTGGGGGTTAGTGGATGCTCAGGACAGTGGTGCCCTTCTCAGGCTTCAGCACTGGGGTCCATGGGGAGGAGCTGGCCATCAGGCAGTGAGTCCGAGGTGAGGGAGGATTCAGACAGAAATGCCAGGACTGTTTCCTGAGGAGACTGCTCGCATGTTTACTATTTAAGCAGCGTTCCAACAAAGAAGGCACATAGAAGGGAAAGTACTTCTGTGCTATCCAGATTGGACACCATCACCTCTCACTGGAGTGCCTTCAGCCCTTATCTGAAGCTCTCTAAGGACTAACTCAAATGGGCCCATCAGCTGAGCAAGATGCCAGCCTCTGACCCCTTATAAAAGTCAAGCACGTGAGGGCCCTCGGTGGACTCAGTTTACTGCTCTGTATAACTCTAGGCTGAACTCTATGAAATTTCTGGTTTTGGTAAAAAAAAAAATGAATGTTGTCACTTTTGTATGGTTTAACCCAATAGACTATATACCTTGAGGCCAATTTGGGGGTAATGTTTTATAATTCTAAGATGTCAGAGTGGGTTGAGCCTCAAGAAAAGCTGCCTCTGGGGTGGGGTACACAGGCCATGGGACTCAGTCCAGGGATCCACTCCAGGTTTCCCACAGGGTTGAGGGGAGACAGTCCTCTCACTAGCATCATTGCTCACTCTCTGGGCTCAGTGCCCCATCAGTTCTGCCAAGTTTCCTGATGAATCCCTTGCAAATCCCAAACTCAGGACCCATATGGATTCAGAACATGAAATAGGCTCCTCTTCATTCCCAAATGCTTTTTATCTTTTTTTTTTAATGTTTATTTTTTATTTTTGAGGGAGACAGAGAGAGAAAGAGCAAGCGAGCAGGGGAGGGGCAGAGAGGGAGACACTGAATCCGAAGCAGGCTTCAGGCTCAGACATGTCAGCAGAGAGCCCGAGGTGGGGCTCGAACTCATGAACTGCGAGATCATGACCTGAGCTAAAGTCAGATGCTCAACCAGCTGAGCCACCCAGGCACCCCCCTAATGCCTTTTATCTGATGCTCACCATCCAAGCTCAGGAACTGAGTAGATGTGGGTAAGAGGGACATTTGGTAAATTTAATCCTCAGAAAATCCCTATTGTCACTGCTCCCCCAAAATGACTCCAATCTCAGAGACCAGCCCATACCAAGGTCCCAGAGGATACGAGCCCACCCTCCCTGCCCTTACCTCTCCCTGGACAAAGGCTTGGGCTCCGGACGGATGGCAGCCATGGAGAGAGGCGCTTGCCTGGAGGGAGATGAGGAGAAGTTCAGATCCAAGGAGCCTGCCTTTCTGTGCAGTGGCTCCATCCCCACTGCACCCTGCATCTCGCTCTCTATGGGGCAGGACCCTGCCCTGCCATGGATGGACAGTGAGGATACTTCGGGTCCCACGGCACCCTGGAGTGAGGTGTCCACTGCCACCAGGGCATCGTGGGTTGGAGAAATGGATGGTGGAGAGCGAGATTTCTTCTTGGTAGACGCCCCAGCAAGAAGCTTCAGCAGCCCACTTTTCTTCTCTTTCTGGAAAGACACACAGAATTGAAATCCAGTGGGTTAATACTCCTAAATGCCCTTGTTGGAGGAGGGAAGTATAATCTTATTTGGAAACTTTAAACAATCTTGTTAAGCTGGTTAGAGGAAGAAAACAAAGCTAAGACGGAAAGGTTTTCCAACTCTTGTTTTCTTTCCTTTCCCCAAATCTGGTGCAAGTGCCCAGAACAGACCCAGGAGGCCCTGGGGCAGACCAGAAGGTGCTATTCCCAGGAGAGGGTGTGCTGTTCCCAGGAGAGAGTGCTGCAGGAATAGGGAGGTGGGGGGACGGGGGGGGCCCTCCCCTCCCGACAACACACCTCCTCACCATCACAGGACTGTCCCAGACTGGTAAGACTCCAAGGAGCCAGGAGTCAACATCATTTGTCTCTCTTTACCTGGGAGAAGTGTGTAATTATTTTACATCAGGCTGAGATTAGCTTCCTCAACCCCCACCGGGTTTATAGAAGCAAAGGTCATGTATCCTAGACACAGCTTCATTTGGAAACTGGGCAACACTGTATTCAAACTTTTCTGGCACAAAATTATTTATACCACACAAGAAGCCTGCAGTGTGTGTGTGTGTGCGCGAGCACATGTGTGCATCACATATATTCCCCAAGAAAGTCATTTGCAGGCAGGGAGGACCCGAGCTGAGGTCTCAGAGCTGAAGCAGCCCCCCATGGGGGCAACTTCTCCTCATGCCCTGAATTCTGTCAATGGGAAACACCCTGATAAAACTGCTTCACTCAGCAGGTGGCTTCCTTATCTTAAGAGAGCTATTACAGGATATGACAACATTCAGGTCGTGGCTCCTTACATACAAAACTAATGAGATAATCAGAAGAATCTGCCCTTATAATCATGAGGCTATTGATACGCTCTCCTACTAGGATGTGTAGACACCTCTCCTGCTCCATAGTTCACTCCCAGTTCTCATGGAGGACTCCCCACCACACACCCCACACCAGTGGCAGGCACGACCAGTATAGGGTCTTCATCAGAGGCCCCATTTAGTACTCTCTTGGCCCTGAAGGAGCTTCTCTCCTTAGTCTCACATCCTAGGAGCTCAAAGCAGACTCTCAATATGTAAATGAGAGCCAGGTTGGGGTGGCAACACAGACCTGGAGAAAGAAAAGATCCAGGTAGTGTCCTTGGGTGGCCTGGACCAGCCACCATGTTTGCTCTGAATTCTGCATATCACTGTCAGTGAAGGGGCACCTCAGCCTCCCTCAGCATGTGCTGATTACACTGAAGCACATAAGGAAACATGAGAAACATTGATACCTAGAGAGTTGTTTGTGAAAGAGAAAGTGTGTACATGCAGAGGTGCTTTTAGAACAACACGCTTGCCTTGGAATCTGACCATTTTTATGGCTTTAATAGAGTTCAGTTTTTTAATGTTCAATGGAAATTAGGTGGCAGGGCACATGGCGTAAAACAATGGCAGCACACGGAAGTCTGTAAGTATAGCCACTGAGTCAGTGATGCCTATCAAAGAGTCTGCTTTGGTCACAGGGCTCAGGTGGATAGAAGGCAAACATCCTCTTCTCACCTTCCTGTCTGCAGGGTTAGAGGCTACTGGGGGATGATTTCAGCATCACCACACTGATGCTGAAATCTTCTTAAAATTCACATATTAGGGATATGCATATCCTTAAGCTAAGTCAATAACACTTTAGTATGAACAAGTCCATGTTTTTTCTCCTCTACTGTTAGCACTGATATTGACAGAAAGAAGGGAAGTAGATGTTCTGAAGACTGTCCATAGTGAGGAATTTCTGGCATGGGTGAGCCCCAGACTGGTGGGGAGCAGGTTGGTGTGGGGTAATGCAGCAAAGGGCAACCCTCTCTGTTTATGTTTCCTAGCTCTGTCCTGCTTCAACATCCATAAAGGAGTTCTGTGACACACTTAGGAGAGTTTCACTAGTTTGGCCACGAGGGGGCACCACATATCTGGCTCAGAGGGATCCCTGTCTCCCAAGTAGCTGGGGCTCCTGAGGCCACTGCCACTGAGAGGTGCTGGTGGGTGGTAGTGTGTGTCTGGTTCCTCATGATGACAGTCTCCTAACCTGAGACCATGAAGGGGAGGGCACTAGAGGTAGGAGGACACAGTGTAGGCATGAGGGGTGGTGTCTGATGGTTCACGGCCCTCTGGGGGCTCCGGAAGGATGAGCCTGCCCAATGAGTCTAGGGAGCCATGTGTACACCCAAACTAAACACCCAGATGCACAGAATGCAGGTCGAGTATCACAAAAGCTACATGCTATCAAATTCTCAAATTCCAGTTATTAATCCAATGGGATGGTGAAGCTGGAGACTGTACAACTTCAAGAATTGTATACATACATAAGCATATGCACTTACATAAAATTATGCATGGCGTGAAATGGATCTGCAGCCCAGCCAAAGCCCTGAGGGGACAGGAGCCACTGCCTGGCATAGTCCGTAGTCCCTGAAGGGCTGTGGGTTGACCTGCCTTTGCTGCTGCCATCTTGGGCTGGGCCTAGCTCATAGAGATCATAGGGAAGGGTGCAGGCCAGCCCTGGCATCAGGCCATGTAGTCTTCTGGAACCAGAGTGTGAAGCCTGGACACTCGGCCAGCAAACATGTGTGGAGCAATTCGACAGTGCAGGGACAGCCCCTCTGGGCCATGATGCTGGAGTGTCGGCTGGTCCTGCCAACAATCCATAAGTCAGGGTGCACGTGCCCAGTGGGGGAGCACCTGCGTGCAAGATGTGGCCAGTGTCCCGGTCAAAGGGGCTCCATGTGGGAAAGCGTTTTCAGAGTGACTGTCCCCATGCCCCTGGGACAAGTGTTGGCTGCACCATATCCACCTACCTCACCTATATTCAGAGCTAGTGTCCCTGGCCTCTTCTACATATGAATTAAAGGTGGAAGGAGATAGAATGAGGACGTGCCCAGGGCCGGTAGGGAACCTCCTGTTAGAAGTTTCAGGGGTAAAGGGTGCCTGGGTGGCTCAGTTGAGCATCTGACTTCGGCTCAGGTCATGATCTCATGGTTTGTGGGTTTGAGCCCCACGTCGGGCTCTGTGCTGACAGCTCAGAGCCTGGAGCCTGCTTCGGATTCTGTGTCTCCCTCTCTCTCTGTCCCTCTCGGCTAGTGCTCTGTCTCTGTCTCTCAAAAATTAAATAAATGTAAAAAAAAAAAAAAAGTTTCAGGAGTGAAACCATGGCCCTTCTTGGGACATCCCAGCAGGTTAAAAAGATAAAAGGAACTGACCAGGGCCCAGTTGTCAGCCAGCATGACAGCTCTTGTGGTCCATATGGTGGTGTCCTGCCTCATGAGCAAAGAAGAGGTCTGATCAACAAACACTCTGTTGCAAGACACAGGACAGAAAGCCCTGGAGCCACAGGCTGTGCCACAGTAGGGTGTGTTGTGAGGGGAAGATAAAGCCACTGGTCTGCTTAGCATGTTTGCATGGAAATCCAGCCTTAGCTGTGGTTTGGAAAGAGGTGCATGAATGTGATGGATAATTTTCCTGTCTCAGTTTTCCAGGATTAAGTATGACTGATCACTTTCTTAATTTGACTTTGGCAAATACTTATGTCATGACTGGAATACCCTCTCCTTTGCTGTCCATGACAGAATTCTGCTAATGCCTTCAGGATCCAGTTACTACAAGTTGCTGTAAAATTTGTTGAACTATCATGCACACAGAAGTCATGGAATATGGATGTAGATATTCCAAGCCCTTCCCCTGGTGGCTGCCCTATTCTGGGTGATGTATGTTAGAATCAGCTAATGGGCACTTTGAAGGTGGTGGGAAAAGGCTCACCAATCAATTTAGGGGCAACACCATTGGACAATAAGAGGTTTTAGAGGATACAATTTCGGGTTAATGTGGGCTAAAAGTTTATCAAAGAACGATGGGTTTGTTGGGGTTTCTCCAGGGACCAGGACTAAATTAGGGACTTTTATGAGCCCAGTGAGATGCAGAGAATGGTATCCCCTTTATATTTTTGGAGCTCATTTTAGGTATGTTTTAGAGGAGTCACTGCTTTCCTACACAACTTTGTGTCAGCATTCTGCTGTCTCCATCTGTGGCCTAAATTCCCCTCTCCTGAGGAGGGTCACTTTCCATCCCTAGGTTGCTCTGAATGGCCATGGTGCAGCCATTTCAGCCTTGTGGGGGTCCTCCAGTCTGAACTGTGGGAACAAAATGCCTGCCTCCCTCTCATCTTCTGTCTTCTCCCCAAATGAGTGATAAGCTACTTACTGCTTGTCCTCTGTGAGGCCGTTCACAGCTCCCCATGCAGACAACCTGCTCTTGCTGTCTGCCTCCTCTTCCTCTGTCAATGGAACAGGATAGGAGCACAGGGGCAGCCCAGGCTGGTGCATGAATACCTAGCTCTGAGTCCTGATTCCACCGACACCAAGTTGTTAAGATGACAAATGGAAGAGTGCTTTTTAAACTCTGAATGCATGTTACAAATACTTGATTGTGTGGCTGTTTTTATGGCGTGTTTATATGATGTGCTATTTTTAGGTTTTTGCAAAACACCTACAACCTAGTTAGCTCACAGTACATTTTTGTTAAGGAATAAAATCCATTTCACTTCCACCTGAGGCAGTTGTGTCACTGTTAACCCTCAGATTGCCTTGAGAGATCTCCACAGGCCAACACAGGGTCTCTTGGCTCTCCAACTTTAGGTACAAAGAATCAACCAGAGAGTTGGATAGAATGTAAATGTTAGCCCCACTCTCAAAGATTCTAATTCAGCAGGTCTGATATGGGGGCAAAAAAAGTGATTCTGATCCAGAACCCAGGAAGGGATCAATTATAAGCCAACGGTCATGTGTCAACCTGTTAATGATTTCAGAAGACTACAGATAGTGCTGTAAAAACCCAGAGAAGGGACCAGCTGCATGGGAAGGTGACAAAACAAGGAAATAGGTTCACTGAGCACCTACTAAATTCCCAGTCCAGGGGACTTGCATGGGTTTTAAAGCTGTGTTTGGAATATTGG